GACTGATAGAAAGGTAAGTACTGACTGAGTCTTAAGGGATAGGAAAAAATGTTTGGGGCTGAAGTTGTGTTCAGGAAACGTAGATTGATTTTCCAAAGGAATGGCTTGCCAAGCAATGTGAGATTAATGAGGAAATGAAAATATGCAATTTAGGTGACTGAGAGTACCTGACTCATGATGCCCTGTCCTTTTAGCCTAATTTGCCCCACCGTACCTTTTGCTCTTGGCAGGAGCTTTTGTTAGTAGAGATAATGAGGGGCCTGGTTCCCCTGTTGCTGGTCTTCCTGCTGGGTCTGGGGCTGACCCCACTGACTCTGGCTCAGAATGACGACAGGTACAGACTCTCCTGGCCCAGCACTATGATGCCAATCCAAGTGTCCACAATGGCAGATACTGTGAAACCATGATGAGGAGATGAGGGCTGACTTCATTCTGCAAAGACTCCAGTAACAACATCAAGGTCATCTGTGAAGATGGGAATGGAATGTCCTACAAAAAAATTCAGAATAAGCAGGTCTCCTTTTCAGGTCAATATTTGCAGGCATAACGAGAGTCCCCCTGGCCTCCCTGCCAGTATAGAGCCACATCAGCGTCCAGAGACATAGTTGTTGCCTGTGAATATGGCTAGCCTCTCCCTTTGATGACTCCTTTTACCATCCATAACCAGCAAGACCCTGACCAAAAGTTGATTCTGGTCTCCATTCCTGGCATTTTCCCCGACACTCCAAAAGAGTGGTGACTACATTCATTGCCAGAAAATGAGCTGCTGGATCTTTTGTTTTCTGTTTTACAATATGTTGATAAATAAAAATGTCTCTGAAATCAGTAAGAATCAAAGTCTTCTCATCAATTCTTGGCCTATTGATTTATCCCCATTTTCACTACTCAGCTGCCCCCAGAGAGGATGGCATGGAACACAAATGCCTGGGAAACACCTTCATTCCCTATACCCATATGATTTCATTCATTCATTAGTTCCCTTGTTTTGTTTATTAGTTCACTCAACCAATATTTACCATTTTCAGAGCACTTTGGCTGGATACTCCGTTTTTTACTTTTTTTAAATAGGATTTATAAGTTTTCAAAAAAAAATAACTCAATTTTCATATCATTAAAAGAATGCCAACGGGTGAAAAAGATGAAGGAATTAAAAATTACAAATGGCCAATTTTAAAAATTGCCATAGGGATGCCAAGTCAGCATAAGGATGATAGTCAATAGCATTTTAATAATTATGTATGGTGTCAGATGGGTGCTAGATTTTTGGGGTGATCACTGTAAGTTATATATATAAATGTGTAATCACTGTGTGGTCACCTTAAACTAATATAGTATATGTCAACTGTAATTGAATTTTTTTTTTAATTTAATAAAAGAATAGACATATGAGAGGAAAGGCTAACCCTAAATGTTACTCTATCCTTTTCCCACACCTTCCTCAATTCCCAGATGTCAGGAATTAAAATCAGTTTACAAACTCTCATTGACATATCCTGTCTGTCCAAACCTTTAGGAACCAGAGTCTCCAGGGAACCAAACACTCTCCTGAGATCACATGACTAGAAAATTTCCTCAAGAGACAGACAACTCTAGTTTCATTTAGATTTGCCTTTTCTCCCTTTTCACACCCTGAACATACAGGAAATGTCTCCTTGCCATTCTCCACACCTCTCTATGGTGCCCATTTCTTACCTTCCTTTCTCCTACCCCTTGGTTTCTCCCCAGGCGCCTCCAAGGTAGCGATGGCTCTCCAGAAGACCCTTTCATTGCTTCTGCTCTCTCTGATGACCCTGCTGGGGCTGGGGCTGGTAGAGCCCTCCTATGGCCAGCCCATGTACCAACGATTCCTGCGGCAACATGTGGAGTCTAGAGGGCCAGGTGGCACCAAGTTGTACTGCAACACGATGATGCAAACACGGGGGATGACCACGCCTACATGCAAGCAATTCAACACCTTCATCCACGAAAACATTGGGACCATTAGTAACATCTGCAACGCCACCAATATTCAGTGCAAGAATGGCATGATGAACTGCCATGCCGGTGTAGTGCGTGTCACAGACTGCAAAGATACAGGGAGTTCCCCATCCCCCAAGTGCTCATATCAGGCTACTGCCAGCACTAGGCGTATTGTCATCGCCTGTCAGGGTAACCCCCTGGTGCCTGTGCACCTTGACAGCTAGATGCTACCCTGCAGGGGTTATGGCCCCATGGTTGACCTTTAACTTACTCCTTGAATTGCAATGAGTAATGCATTTGAGCTGTCTCAGGCTCTGCCTCCTCTGCTTACTCCCTTTTCTCTATATAATCTATTCTGTTAAATTCATCAAAGAGAAATGGAGACATAAACCTATAATGGGACTGGGCTTTTCTGTAATAAAAATTTCTACAAACTCTTCTGTTTCCTTTTATAATACTGGTCAGCTTAGCCCTCTCAGATCCTGCCTTCTGGAATTTGGTTATTATGTATATGATATAGCATTTCCAGTATTTTAAGGTGCTTCCATCTCAGTTACCTCATTTTAATACCACCACACCCCTGCGATGCTGATGTTGCTACATATAGGAGCCCAAAGTTAAAATATTTGCTGAAGCCAAAACCGGTTTGGCTCAGTGGA